TATTAAGTTACTGTATGGTAACAAATATTACTTTCAGCTTTATTGTAAAAGGGACACTTTGCCTGTGTTTAATGCTGTTTTTCAATGTTTTGCTCTTTGACAACAATTCCCATGAAAATTTGAAACCAAGGTCTGTCTCCTTCTGACTCCTCTTCTCTGTTCCGCTCAGCCCCAAAACCAATTTGTTCCAGCTGAAAACTTTTTCACAATAGACTGATTTTGTAAACAGAGGGACACTGTGGTTTTTAACAAATAATATTCAACAAGGAGTTAATAGTTTAGTTTTATTCATATTCATTTTATTAGTATTATATTATTTTTTTATAATATTGAGTTAGTCAGCAGTGGATGGTTCATGAGCTGCCGTCTGAAAATGAACTGTACTTCAGTGTTTTTTGTTCATCTTGATGAATGTGTCTTACAGTACACTGCTGTGCCTCACTGGTGTCTTATGAATAGTTTATTTGAAATATAGAATATTGCTTTCTTCATTCCATATTCAGTTGAGCTGCAGTGTGCACATGTGAGTGTACACTTTCATGTTACAACACTTATGAGTCTCTGTGATAAAAGACGAGACAAGTTTATTACTATTTATTTACCTGTCAATCGCAAAGGTAACACAGGGCTTTTCATAATGCTTGAAAGAAAATAAATCAAAACCAAGACAGAGAAACATATTTTACCTTTCATTAAAAGATTGAAAGTATGTATGTATCAGTGTGAGGATACATGGGGATGATCTGACATTTGATTGTTTGTTTGTGGAGCAACTTTATTCGTCCAAATTCTTGCAGCCTAGTGAAGCAAAAGCATCTTGATTGCCACCTGGTGGCTGGCTGCAGGATAGGTCATAAATCCTGCCTCCTCTATGTTAATGGATGGGACATCACCCAAAATGAAAAGTCAAAATACCACTGCAACTCCAACCCCCAATCCCTACTACGTAGACTCTGGCTCCAAATGCACAATATGGCAGCGTTCGTATCCTGGATTCATTTCTGCATAGTGGGGGGCAGTGGAGACTTTTGTCTCTAATAAAGGATTAGATTTCCTCTCACATATTTACTGTGTCTCGTGTGTTTCCCAGGCGAAGCAGTCTCTGGCCACCCTGACAAAAGACGTACCGAAGCGGCATTCACTGGCCATGCCGACGGAGCCCGTGGTGAACGGCAGTCAGGAGTGGGTAATGCAGGCCGACCTGCCTCTCACCGCCGCCATCCGACAGAGCCAACAGACCCTCTACCACGGTCACAGCACAGACAGACAGGGTAGGCTCTCTTTTCTGCTCGGCCTCTCAGTGTCCGTGCTGCTTTGGTGTTGCATTAACGAGCCAACACACTAACAGAGGGTTTCCTCGAGGTTTCTCATACTAACTGCAGGAATTTTTCAATTTGTGTGTGTGTGTCTGGGGGGTTTGCGCCTCCAGCTGTGGTCAGGATCAGCCCCTGTCACTCTCGCCAGCCCTCGGTCATCTCTGACGCCTCGGCAGCCGACGGGGACCGCTCGTCCACACCCAGCGACATCAACTCACCTCGTCACCGGACCCACTCCCTCTGTAATGTAAGAGCTGCCTGGCCCCCTTGACCAAGTAATCACACCTCCTTCTCCTGTTTGTGTCTGTCCCTCTGTCCTGTCCTCTTGCTGGGTGTCAGCCTGCCTGCTTGGTGGTGGTGGTGGTGTTTTTTGCATTCAAAGTCACTTTAAAGCAGTAGTTTGAAGGTGATTTTTGATTTCTTGCAAAGAGTTCGATGAAAAGATTGATGTGTCTCTCATGTCTGTTAAATATGAAGCTACTCCTAGCAGCTGTTAGCTTAGCTGAGAATAAAAATTAAAAACTGATGGAGCTGACCTGTGTGTATCAAACATAGACTGTATCTAAAGATATCTTAATTGTTCGTGCTTTTACAAAAACTGAAATGTAAAATTACAAGTTCAGGGGTTATGAGCAGTCAAACCACGGAAATGCTGCTTCCAACCAAGAGAGTTCAGCTCATAACCTTCATAAAACCACTTCCATTCAGTTTTTGCATTGATGAAACAAATAAGATATGATGTGTTGATTACTGATCATTAGATGTGCAAGTCAGCAGATTTTGTCTCTATCTTTTATGCTAAGCTACCCAGCTGCTGGCTGTCGCTTTGTTTTTACCGTACAGACATGAAAAACACAAAAACACACTCAGACTTTACGTCGAACAAATAAGCACAATTCCGAAAAATGTCAAACTACTGCTTTACCTCAGCCGTGTGAGAAGACTAGCCTGAGTCTCCTCTGCCTGCTTCAGTCCATGGAGGACCTGGAGGACCAGAAGCGTAAGAAGAAGAAGGAGAAGATGACGCTGGGATCTCTGTCACGCGTGTTCGCTCGGGGCAAGCAGCGCAAGTCACTGGACCCCGGCCTGTTTGATGGTACAGCCACCCCTGATTATTACATAGAGGAGGATGCCGACTGGTGATACTGTGTGTGTCAGCGTGAGTGTGTGTGCGTGTGTGTGTGTTAATGTGTGGATATCCACTTGGCTTTAACTGTGTGTTCAGTTTGTGGAGGGGGGGAATGGGGTAAATTTTAAAAGAGAATCCCTAAAAGAGACTGCTATTCTATAAATGTACAGTATATTACCCTTAAATTGTGTTTGTAAATTAGATATATATTTATAGATGTACATGTATGCATATGTATATATGTTTACATGCTTATAAATATATACAGTACATGGGGTTATTATTATGTGTAGACATGTTTATGCTGTATTATCTTACAAATGGCGTAATGTTTTATGTTTTTTATAACTGGAGACTTGAAGGACTGCTGTTTATATGTACATAGGAGTGATTGTGACACTAGTGTTTTTATTGTAAATGTCATTTGGCTTTTGTTACTTTTACGGTTGCTTTATCATGCTTTGCAATTCTATGTTTCTTCTTATTCCCGATCTTATTCAGCCCATTTTTTTATTATGAGAGAAGAAATTAACTGATTGAGCTGGAAAAAAATTATCTTGTGGACGCTGATTAGCCAAATTTACTTACTGATGTGAAAATACAACACTTTGTATGAGAGGTATTGCTGTTACAGGATCGTCATCATATTATAAAACTGGCTCATGGTATTCGCTGATAATGACACCTCAACCATTTAAGATTTAAAAAAAAAAAAAAAATCCTCATTTACAGAGGTAGGGGTTTTAGAATCAGACTTCTATAAAATATGACTTAAATGCACATGCACAAAGAAATATAAGAAAATGAACAGTAATCCTTCTCCAGGCAAACCTCTCGCCTGCTGTCAAATTCATGTTCAAGTGCCAACGTTAAAAAGCTCATCTTTTAAAAATCTGCATATCACTGTGTCACTGTTAGCAGTAGCCTCATAACATTGTTCTATGTCTGACACACGTCTCTCTGAGAGCTAACTAACGTGTCAATATGAGACAGTGGAATGTGCATTAAACACCTGCATGATCCCTATATGTTGCTTTGAGAAAATGTCCATTCATTGCCGATCAGATTCAATAATCTCCGCACTCCTGTGTCGCTCCTGTGTTGCCTTCTCCTCCCTGTACCAACTTATCTCTCCTTGCATTTTGAATGCACGGCCCCTCTGTTTTCTTTTTTCTTTTCTCTTTTTTTCGTTGCTGTTTCTTTTTTGTAGAATTCCTCCTCATTTCTCGCAAATGTGGCTCTACAACGATTCTCTGTCGAATGCTTTGTAATTTAGGAGATGTTGCATAAAAAGATTAAATCTATTGAAGTATTTTATTTAAAAGAGAAAAAAAAGACACAAACAAGAGGCGACTTCAGATATTTATCTGCTGCAGCTGCTGCAGCCAGATGTCGAGGAGGTTTTAGCGTTTTTTCGAAAATGAATCATAATTGAAATGAAATCTTATTTTAAAAATAAAACTAGTAACTGAATACATCCGACGTGACCTTTTTCTGTTCCATGAGTAATCTTGTTCTTGTGTGCAGTCTAACGTGTCTCTCCCTCTCCTCCTGCCATTTCTAATGGCAAACTCCCCTCCTGCCAGTGAGTAACTCCTCATCTGTGATTACCAGTTGTCTGTTTCTGCTCTCTGGGGATTATTCATGTCACTCAGGTCCATTGGAGAAAAAAAATTGTCTCGCTTTTTCTTTCGTGGAAAGTCTTATGAAAGATGGTGGACTTTGCATGCAGCATTTGTTGTCAGCATGTGGGGACGAATCAGGTAAACACACAGAGTTCATCCTGGATTTTTTGGTTCAGTATGAATCAGTGTTTCCCTATTGTTGAGATGGGTGGGTAATGGGCGGGAGCATGATGTTTATGAATAATCCCTGTGTCTCTAATACATTACCCTGATGGTCTTAAGTCCCTTCATAATCATCAAGATAGTAACAAGTATTTGAACTAAACGATGATGCTGTAGTTTTAGACCTGGACTAAACAACTACATTCTCATGAAAGAAACTTATGGTTTACATTTAACTGACACCATTTGAAATTTACAATCACTCATTTGTGTTGTGTTGTATTTATTATCATTTATTCTGTTAGCTATTTGTAGCTAGGGAAATTCAATTGAATTGTTCTGGCGCCATCTAGTGGCCATGTGTGCAATTTCAACACAGTGAATGTTACAATTGGGTAAAGGAAAAGGTTGAAGCAGTTTTTCATGCAGCTGACTTGAGCAAACCAAAACTGATATTTTAGTGTAGCATCCACACTGATGCCGTGTATGGAGGTGGAGGTGAATTTTTCCACTCGTACACCCTCTGATACTTAAATATCAAACTGTCTCCAGATGAGTCATTTGTTTTGATTTCCCTCTGACCCTGAACCCCTCCTGTATGCCACACCATAACCTCTCCCGAACCAATCCAGACTCTGACAGCCTCACACAGCAGAGCCTGTCTGACGGCGAGGAGCAGCTCGACCGCCTCCAGCAGGCGGAGCTTACACGCACCACATGCATGTCGCTGTGGAGGGCAGGTGCAGTCCAGGCCTGGATGGAGGTTGTCATGGGGATGCCTATGTACATCCGAGCCTGCTCTGAAAATGTCAAGAGTGGCAAGGTACACATCTGGTACAAGTGGTTCTTCTGCAGTTTGTTTGCCTCTTGCTTGAGAGCGGGGTAGCAAGCGGTTGCACTCAGGTTTGATGAAAGTTTGGATTTCTGCTGTTTAGGTGCTGCTGGGATTGACAGATGAGGATTTAGAGCTGGGTCTGGGAGTCAGTAACCCCATTCATCGCAGAAAGCTGAGACTGGCCATCGAGGATTACAGAAGAGCGGAGGGGGATCAGGGGTGAGCAGAAGTTTAAAGAAAAAACTTGAAGAAACTACAACTCAGTACATTTACTACAAAGTTGAGGATCTTGCACTTAACTTGAGGAAATATTTTTTACCACTTAATGAATATGTAATATTTACAAACACATACACATTTATAGATTTTGTCTATAGACATGTGAATATGCCTTATTTTATAGTTATCTTAGTTAATTTCAATGTTTCTTGTTGCAATTACTGTTTTTATTTACATGCTACATGTTTATTTTTTTATTTTCACAGTTAAATGTTTGTTAGGAGAGAGAAGCCTCTTACAATGTAATTGCACAAAAAAGTATAATGAAGAATGAATGAATAAAGACCTTTCATTCATTCATGTAGCTAATTTTTTTACAGTGTAACATTTTCCACTACTGCTAATAATGTGTCATTGGTATCTCCTCATCTAGACTGTCAAACGCCTCTGAGATGGATCATTACTGGGTGTCCACCTCTTGGCTGAGTGATGTGGGCCTGCCTCAATACTCTCAGACCTTCCAGAGTCACTTAGTGGACGGACGAGTGCTGAACTCCCTGAGCCGCAGGGACCTGGAGAGGTTCCTCAACATTGGCGACCAGTTCCACCAGACAAGTCTACTGCTGGCAATCCAGCTGCTGCAGATGCTCAGCTTTGATAAAGAGGTGAGACTATACACCACAATCTGTAATATTGACACTGAGTAGTATTTTTATTTAAGTAGTCATTCCTCAATCAGTTTAACTCAGCCCCACTGACACCCTGCATGTGATTTCCATTATCATCCACCATAGCTTGAGGCACACAGAAGCTGTTGGTGCTGCATTATCTCAGCGGGCCATCATCCTTCCCTGACCTCTCTCCGTGTTATGCTTGGCCCCTGCCACATTAGCGCTTCTGTGGCTATCTGTGTGTTGTGTTTTCGCAGGCCCTGCAGGCACGACGGGCAAAATGTGAGCACCAGGACCGTGATCCCATTGTTTGGACATGTCACAGAGTAATGAAGTGGATCAGAGACATAGACCTCAAGGTGGGTGGGAGGTCAGTGACGGCGTTCCCTTTGCTCAGGAGTTTTCCAGAGCAGATTGGAACCAGATACCGCACAGTTTGTGTTTCTTGGTCTCCCGCGAACATAATGATAGCTTTGTTGCTTTGCTGCTTCACCGCTGCCGAAAGAAATACACAGAAAAAAACACAGGTTTTACAAATAAACATAGCAAAATACTACACATGTGTTTTTCTGGCTTCGGTATCCTCTACTTTGACATAAACATGTAGCTTTAAAATCCAAAACACAAAATCTGCCCCACAGGGACAAACATCTATTTGTTTTAAGCCCCATCATGACTGTGGTTTTCATTTACATGCTATTAAATCTGACCTTTGTGCCCTCGTGACTACTTTCATGACTATAGATAGCATCTGGAGTGATTTTTCTCAGCTGTGCTGCACACACTCTGCGTTTTGCTCCTCAGGAGTTTGCAGACAATCTTCAGGGCAAAGGGATTAACGGGGCTGTGATGGCTCTGGATCCGTCCTTCGACACCGACGCCATGGCCAAAGCCCTGTGTATCCCCGGCAACAAGCACATGCTGCATCGGCACCTTTATGAAGAGATGAAATCCCTTGCTGTACCTCACAGGTCAATCAAAATCTGCTTTACACAAATTACAAAAATACTGAGCACATATCTCCGCCAAGGCACAACAGTCTCTTTAAATTAAATCAAGCTGCACCAAATTGCACACAGTTATAGAAATACGAACCCTCAATATGAGAGATTTGTCTCATCAAGATCTGTGATTTATTGGCTGGGAAAGTAGTGAAAATGTTGAAATAAACCCCTATCTAGTAATGTTAAAGACCAGGGAAAAAAGAGAAATCCTGGATCTGCCCCTGGAGCCAGAAACAGACCAAAACTCAGTGGGTTCTGCTCGGACCCAGACCACATCCTTCCAACAAGTTCTGTGTTAATCCGCTCTATTGTTATCTTGCTCACAATCAATCAAAACAACCAAAAAACAGACAGGGGTGAAGGTAATTATAACTTTTATAATTAACTTTTATTATAACTAAAATTCTACCAAAACATAAAGGACAAGATAAGACATCAGGGTTGTAAAATTTGACAAAGCATGAAACAAATGAATAAACATATTTACAGTAAATAAAATGTCTGTGATGCCTTTGTTTTTACAGCAATGCAGAGCAGGCCAATGAGGTTATCGGTTCTTCTTCACCTGTGGCTGTTAACCGCTTCACTGAGGAGAGGGTCTCCATGAGAAGAACTGGAAAGGTATCAAAATCATATCACACGACAACAATAATATAATATCTACTTCAGGAAAACTCAAATACAATACAAAACACAACCCCATCTAGTTTTAACAACAACATGGCTGTAGAGCAAATGAACAAAAGTTATAAATGTGGCTCAGTACTTAGTAGTTTTTTATTCTAATGTGAACGACAGCCCTTCGATGACCTTTTTCAGTCAGTGTCGTGATAGTTTTCTCACTGATGATTATCTATGTTTCACACACATATTGCAATACAGCAAAATGCACAACACACCATTGAGTTTGTTTTCATAGCCCAAATATAACTATTAATTAGTATTGACAATTGACTTAATTACAATGTATTTCATTGCTGCAGAAAAAAAGGGGGAACATTGTTAAAGCAGCATTTTCTATTCAGGTATGGAGACAATAAAAAATGTATATGTACTGTAGAAGATAGTTACACTTACCTCATGGTATAAGTGTATATTGAACTTGTAATTGTGACTTTAAAGTATTTTAGGGACATTCTTTCCTCGGTCAGATAATGGACAATACAGCTGAAAGGAAATGAGGGGGAGAGAGACGGGTTGACATGCACCAAAGGTCGCCAGCCGGATACAAACCGAGGACATTGAGATTACATGATCTGCATCTTAAACCGTAGAACATCTGGTGGTTTTTATTGGACAGCTTTACTTAATCATACGAGTAAAAAATAGTAAAGAGGAGATTTGCTAAACAAGGACAATGTCACATTTTTGAGAATAAGTACGTATACATTTTGTGCTTCATGTCTTTTCATTTTCCCAGAGTCCGCTGAGGTTACGTGCAAACAGCCACTCTGTGGAGCGGAGCCTGGGCTTCCACGGCAGCTGCGGTTCTCTGCCCAGAGAGGTCAGAGTTCAGGCTGTTCCTCGGGCCAAAGGAAGCCCCATGCACACCTACAAGAGCGTGGAAATCACAAACGTCTGATCCCGCCTCCGAAATGTTCACCATTGTTTACATTGTTGTTGCGTTATACTCGTTTACTACTGAGAGAAACCTACACTCAGCACTTCAGAGGCAGTTGTTGTAAAGTGTATTACCATGTAATTTAATTATTCAAATCATTTTGGCCTGCATAGAAAATCATACATTCTCCGAACAGAAACACATTTTTAACCTAATGTTGTAAATATAAATGAGTGGAAACATTTAGGGAACATAGAGTTTTGATTTCAACTGAATTTCCAAATTACTTTCATATTATGACTTTAGAAAAAACCTCAATGTTGACAATAATTGTTCAGTGTTTGATGCCTCCTTACATGAAATAGGTCTCATATTTATATTATCTTCACAGCACTTCTGTGGTTTCAGTGAACTATTTTCAACAGCTCAGCCCTTTTTTGTTCACATATTAAATGAAGAATTATGCCTTAGGTAGAGAAGCAGACATTATAATATGCTTTCACAGCAGAGATACTGTACATATCCCCCGTTTATCTTCCGAGGACTGTGTCATGTCAGCAGCTCTCTGTGTACATGAGCGAGATGTTGGCCAGAGTTTCTGCCTCAAATCAGGTCTTCTACCTCCATGTGACCCCCCCTCTGCAAGCTTGTCAGCACAGTTATTATTAAATATTATTAAATTAAATGATATTATCATTATTGTTATTACTGTAAATTATATATCTACATATTTTTAAATGAAAATAAAATATTTGAATTGCAGATATTGATTTGTCATCAATACTATCAATAACTATCAATTCTAGCATAGCAGACAATCTTTAACGTTCGAACTGTACTTTTAAAATCTCTCTTCTCACATTGTTACATCCAGTTAATTAAAGAAATGTGAGGTAGACGTTTTGGTTGTTGGTTGAATATAAATGACTAACAAGACTCATCCATGGTAATATGTAGATATCCAATTCTGTTGAATGTTGGGATTTGAAAGTGATGTGTAAACTATAGAGGGAGACTGTGTTTATACTGTACAAGCACTGAAGAAAATGACAGTGCTGTTATATCTTAAATAGGAGAATTGCATCTTTTGTACAGTTTTATCATCTTTTTTAAAACACAGATGTGTAAACTTTGCCCTTCCTGTGCATGAGAACATACATGAAATGTCACACTGTGTGCAGCTAAATCCCTGAGGCGAATCCAGGTTGTGTATAACAAGTTTTTCTACAAGTTTTTGGGCGTTCACGACGTTCACCAACAGCAGAGCAGCTAAAGCGGGAAGATCAGACCAGTTCAAACCTGTAGACAGAGAAGGAACTCCAGTGTTGTTCACTGTGAACCCCGGGGTTAGTATGACTCACACTGTTTCTCCTCCTGTCACAGCTTTTTTACATATACACCAACAATACAGGTGGAATTATTGTTGACTGTTATATTGTACTGTGTTTACCTGTGCTGATTATTTTCAAAACAGCTACAGTAAAATCTGTGTTAACACAATAAAAACTTTATCTGCCGAAACGTCCGTTATTTCCTCATGATGATTTTGGAAAGGGGGGATGTAGATGCAACACATGTTTCAGTGGAAATGGAAACTGCACACACAAACTATTTATTGATTATTGTGTGAAAAAAAACACCTCACAGCATAATTCGATATTTCCTACTCACTCTACACAGGTTGAAAACCATTAATCTGAAATATATATTATTCTATGTTTATATACAGTCAAAATGTATATAGCACCTTTCATACAGTGTGTTAGTGTAGTTCAAAGTGCTCCACAAATGACTGGTGAGCCAAGACTGAGACAAAACAATGAAACAATAAAAAAACTAGACTAGAGTAGGAATGTAAATAAAATACTTAAAACATTTAAAATAAAAAATGCACAATTCCAGGACTTTGATATTTTAAAAACAGTTGCAAACTTCATATTGCCAAGCGTCAAGTTAGTGTTTGAATTGAATAATGCATCAAGATTCCTGTTTGCTACAGTTTTAATAGTCTTATAAAAAACTTTATCTAACCACCACGTGTGTAAAATGAATCTTTAACACATTCGCACCAACTGTCCCATACAATCATATGGTCAGAACTGAAATTATCATAGAAAATTGCAGATGATTTATGTGGAATACTTATACAAGATGACAACGTTATACTGTACCACTCTGGATAATCAGGCCTTAATTAGAGATTTAACAACACGGCCCAAGTTGTTTTACATGTGGCTCAGCAGTGAAGACACAACGAGGTGCCTTACAGTTGAAACGAAGAGAACTGCTACCAAGGCTTTGCCATCCAAAACAACAAGCGCAGTTCACAATACAAGATTTGTCCAAGAAGGGGAACAGAGACGGAGAGAGCCTCCTCCACCGGCTAGGAGTGTTCAGATCGAGCAGGCCAGAGACTGGGAAATGTTGGTGGACATGGGCCAGCGGCTTACAGTCCCATCACATATTGTCACTACCACCCTAAGACCAGACCTGATACTCTGGTCCCTGCATGTCGTCTACTTCGTAGAGTTGACAGTACCAAGATGAAATGAGATGGCATCTGAGGCAGAACAACGTGGCTGGAAAAAAAAAATTAGTTTGCCCTGTGAAGGTTGTCTGTAGGGTTTTATTGCAACATCCACCATTAGGTTGTTCAGAGATCTGGGGATCCATGGACAAGCCCTGCACCAGACCATAAAAGAAACATCACACACTGCAGAACGCTGCAGCCAACGTACACAACTGAAGATATGTCCCTAACATCCACTGGTTGCCACTAACACCTGCAAACATCTACTGGTAGTTGGAAACTTAATTTGTGCAAAAGACGTTGCTGCAATTTTTTCTCTTATGACAGTAAATTAGATGTGCTCTGTTTTTTTCATTTTAGAAATTTAAAAATTATAAATTGAGAAACTTGAATTGAATCTTAACTTTATTTAACTTGACTTAATTTATCTACTTAACTACTGAACTTAAATTAACTTTACTGAACTTTACTTTAAATAACTTTACTTCTTAACAATTAACTTTACTACTTAACAATTAAACTTGACTTAATTTAACTAATTAACTACCGTCCTATTTTACTTAACTACTTAACTGAACCTTACTCTACTTAACTACTCAACAACTGTACTAAACTACTCAAGCTAACTTCACCAAGTTATTTTATTCAATATTAATTTCAATGTGTTTCAACTCCTTCGCGTCTTCGTCCCACTCGTCACCAGAGGAAGTGCAGGTGAGGAGCACTAGGACCAGGGGGAGAACGGGTCACAGTCACACTTTACAACCAGGGGAGCGGAGGAGGCTTGTCTGCGGCTGGAACTTGAACAAAGTCGCTGTGAACTATAGTCCAGTGTGGCGGTAAATACAGAAACTAACCAACTGTGTGGTTTTTAAAACCACTGACCCGGACTGGACCGTGAGGGGTTGTTGTAGGTGTGTGTGTGTCTGTGTTTTGTTCCAGTTTGCGCTGTGTGTGTGTGTGTGTCTGATCTTCCTGAAAACACCTGCGTGCTTCAGGTAACTCACCGGTGGAGAGGGAAGTGTGAGGAGACTGAGCAGGGAGGAAACCGAAGGTGAGGCCTCTCTCAGATCACCTCCATGATTTCTCAGTCTAAGTGGTGGGTGGATGCTTGTTGGGATATTTAGTTTCTCAGGTGTAAAATCAGAGGAGTGTGAGGACAGGTAGGTCTTCCTGTTCAGAGGCAGCTCCCCTCCCTCTCAGCTCCTCCTCACAAACAATGAGAGCACACACACTTACACCATTTTTAACTTGACTTGTCCTGCTCCAGCACTGGGTCACTGGTGGGGCTCTTATTGTTAACTCCTGTAGTAGCAGCAGAAATCAGGCCCATGTTCTTTACAGGTGAAACTGCTTTTGAAATACTGGAAATGTGCTGATGTTGCAGAGGACACACCCATGCACAGTGTCCAGCAGGCCTGCAACAAAGACACAGCCACCAGGAGTGAAATGTCACAGACGGTCAGCGTGTCGTGGCTTGTTGTCTGTCAGGCTGATATGACATGTCGTTCTGCTGTATTCTATGTCGTGATATATGTGTAACTGCAGAGGAAATGCCCTCAAATGGCAGCAAAACCCAGAAACCTATCATGGTTCATTCACCGACCGCTGATCTGTTTTACAGTTTGTCCACCTGAGGATCAAACTCTGGATGCACCCATCTGTACTGTAGTTGGAGGAAGTTAAGAGCAAATCAAGTTCCGTCTCAAGACCACAACAACATTAAGGTAATGACTGATATATGTTTTATTCAATGGTGCATAAAGATAAGTGTCATTTATCCTCATGGGACAAGGATACAGACAAAAACAGATGGGTTCAATTAAAATGGAAACAAATATAGAGTAAAATAACTTGGTTAATGTTGTGCTTAAAGGTCCACTGTGTAAGATTGAGGTGAAATGGAACTATTGGCAGAAAAGGTTCTTTATATTTAAATGTATGTACATTTTATATTTACATGGAGGGGACCCTCTCTACGGAGGCCGCACTGTACCCTTAAGTTAAGATTTAATTTAAGTCATTGAAAGAAATGGCTGGTTGATCCTCAATTCTAATTCTTAAAATCTTTCTATAAGAAAGAAATGTTATTTTTGTACATTTAGAGATAAAAGCATGTGAAAACTTTATCAGAATTATATTGACCTAAATTATCACAGGACTAGATTTCAGTGATTTACTCAACTTCTAAAAATAGAAATAATGATGTCACATCTGTACACTTTATCTGCTTAGACAACAAAAATAAATCTGTCAATCTGCCACATTTTTACAACTCACAACAAATGCATGTTAGTTACTGCGCCTGTTTCGTGGAGACTTTGGTTAATGCTGGACAGCATCAACTTATCACCACAGTAATTACTGTAATGAATGATTGATACAGTACAACTAACCATCTGGTATTTTACCACGGTATCCTTATGGCCATTACATATGTATGTTCAGGTTTGAATTAGGGACGCACCCGTCCAGCTTATTCTTTCCTCACACTAATGTATGAATACCAATGTGCACTCAACCATGAAGGAATGAATGAATATTGGCAAAAAACACAGATTTGTTATAATAATGACATAAAAACTGTATTTAGTGTGGTTAATTCATTTCTGAACTGCAGTTTTAGCTCAAATCCATTAAGTATCGGCACCAGTACTGATCCATCCTATTGAATCAATATATCCTCTTGCCATTGTGCATATTTCTTTATCCTCATGATATGAGCATGGGTGCTAGGACTGTACAATATGGCTGGAATCAATACCACATGCATATGAACATGTTATGTTGCAAAGATCTGTGCTTCACTATTTCAGATTATAACAGACACAATTACATTCAGTCGTATAACATGAACCTTAATTGACAAAACACTCTCTGCTCAAGGTTCACTTACAGAACCTGCTTGTTCTGGAGCTTTCCTGTCCATCACATGGTTCAAATCAGCAGTTTGTGTCTGATAAAATGTTCTGAACTGTTGATGTGGAAGTTTGTCATGGTTCTGATCATCTCTGTGAACCTGAGACTGTTTTGTCAACAATAACCTGTCAAACTCGAACTTTTTAGCTTAAATTATCTGAAACAAAATCATCTGAAAGTCAATTAAGAATATTTCCAAGTTTTTGCCATTCATGCCTTTTATTTATTCATAGAACTGAAATCCTTGGAAGGAGTTTCATTGGCAGCACTGATCTTCAAATTGCTGAGCCTCATCTTTTTTAACTCAGTCACAGTGAGCGCAGATATTTTAATGTAAAAGAGTCGTTTAGTAACAAAAAGCTGAACTAGCAGAAAGTAGAGGATTTAAATATCTGCAGGAGGAGACAGAAACACCTGCTTCAGCCTCACAAGGTAATTCACCGCTTAACTGATGCCTGTGTATCAATAACATCTTCAATAGACCAGTGATAATTTATTGTTCCTCTAATTTCTCTCTCCCGGCTTCTTTGAGTCACACATACACAACATTCAGGACCCCTGTATTAACATCCGTCCCTCCCTGCCCCTCCCATCATTTCTAGGTCAGAACACGGTGACAGGAGCTAAATTGCAGGGTGTGCTCTGCATGAAGGGTTGGACTAATTAACTGGAATTTATGCACCCTGATTGTCATGCTTGAAATACTCAGCCCTTTAAATCCTGAATGAAAAGTTCTTCATTTAAACCATGAAGACTTTTCAACTTTGTGTTCTGTCCTGAGAAGAACGAGCAGGTTATGGGTATGAGGACGGATGCTTGAGATTTTAACTGGTTTATTAGCTTATGTATTGGACATTGTTGAATTCTTATTTTTACCGGGTGGTGTGATTTGTTTTTCTATATGTTGATCCTTCACAATTGATAGAAGATCATACTGGACTCAGAAGGCACGGTCAAACAATCTTATTATGATATCCCACAGAAGGTGTCATTGTGTAACTTAAATGAAGTTGACATGTTCAAGGACATGCTTTAAGAATATCGATTGGTCTAATATCATGGACAGTTTTTACATAGACATGAAATTACTTCAACTGTAACTTTCCTTAGGTTTCATAGGAAATTATTCTATTAAATTCTATTAAAGTAAGAATTCAGCCTTAAGTAAATGTATCAATTGTGGACACTATAAATTTGAGAAATGACACAATTAAATTATGTTTCAGATTTGTATATTAAACACACAAACCATGGAAATAAAGTGCACAGAATTGTAGACAAAGGCAATTTTTACTATTAGACAAAATCCTAATTTTAAGTGTACCATAGTTCTGAATTCCTATGATAAAGCAAAGCTTGCTGATAACTTAAAGGTACAGTGTATAGAATTTAGTGATATCTAGTGTTGAAGTTGCATGTTGCAGCTGAACACCCCTCAACTCGCCCTCTCCTTCCAGACATGAAAAATAACCTGTGGTAGCCTTTAATTGTCAGAAAAACTCAAAAGGAGTTTAGTTTGTTATGTCTGAACTAATTTAAAAAACATGGCGGCCTCCGTAGAGAGGACCCTTTCAATGTAAATATAAAGTATTTGAATATAAAGGGTCTTTTCTGGGGTAAAGAAAACTACAATTCATACAATTTACTGTAGATGAAACAAACTAGGGAAATCATCATGAGAATTATGCTACATTAAATTTCTGCCAATAGATCCCTTTCACCTAAATCTTACACACTGGACATTTTAGAGAGTTTTCACAACCACAGCAGAAACCTCAGTCACTACAGAGGATTTTGTGAAATCTCTGGTGAAAATGTATTGCAAGTCTGAGGGGATCAGGGAAGAGCAGTTTTCGTTTACGCAGATAACAGCTAAAAAAACTACTAAACACTTAAAGGCTTGGATATTACCAAAGTTACTGCCCTGGATGTCGTCCCAGCTGAGTTCCAGAGAGATGCTGAAGAGGTTATTGCTCCCTACTTCACACACTTGATAAATGTTTCAATTTCCCACTCAAAAGGCCCCCAGGGATTTTCAGTCTTACATATTCTGACAGGTGCGCATCAGAACCCTAAAGTTTTTCCCTGTGGTTTCCCTCAAGGAAAGATAATTGGTCCTTTATTTTTCTTATTGTGGATTACCTTCACGATGTGCAGGAAGCCTGTTCATGTCTTTATTTTTCAACAATGAAAAATAACAAGACTGAAGGGACTTGTCCAGTTTATCTGTTGAATGTGATGGAATAAAGACCATGTATGTCCAGATCTAGCGGGTCTTTTTTCCTCACGGTCATTTAGAAGGTCAACTCAGAGACAAACTTTTTGTCAAGAATGTCTTAATACCTGGATAATGAAACAGTAGTAGTTTACATGGACACCAATATTCTGTTATTAACCCTATGATGACAAAAGTCTCATTCACACGTCTCATTCGCAGTATAACGTCTTAGTGGAGTTAGTTTTCACAGCATTTTGCGACATTGACTTAGGGCAGTTACTAAATGTTTGATGACGCATGCCCGCATGAGTTTGAGTGTAAACAAGATGTCAGATGCAGTGTTGACATGAGTCATAAACAGACGATGCTCTGTAACATGTAATGGGAATATGATTGGAATATTCTTTTAGCAACTCATGTAAAGATCATAATTGAAATACTTATGACTCCACCTGGATATAATGGTGTACCTAAAAGAACAAAACATAATTATGGTCGTACTTCATCTCAGTCCACGAACGAACAGTATTCAAAGCTACTTTACAGCAATGAATTGAGTTCACCAGTTGAAACTTTATTTCAGTCTTTTTTGTAGGGTTGTTGTATTGCATTTACTTTTATTGTACAGGTTTCCGTTTAATTAACTATTACTGCAACTGTGTGTCTGGGTCAAATGTTTTCAAAGCTCCACTTCCACTGTGTCATATTGTTATTTTCATGTTGAGTGATATATTTGCTTGAATTGCAGATATGCTGCTAAATACCATAACATGACCATGACCATTCTTCACGTGTGAGTCATTCTGGTCAACGAGTCTCTCAGGTTTATGTTTGTCATGTTAAGACATGTGTGGACGTTCTTGCACTTGTTTCCTCATAACCTGTTTTCTCACCATACTGCTGATATCCATCTGTCACACCACCTCTGCTCCAAATGTAGCAGACTCAATACTTTTTGAGCTTGTGTTGTGCATTCTATTCAGGTTTTCACTAGTGTATGATCAACTAAATTGTATGGATTGTGGTTCTTTCTACCCTAGAATGGGCCCTTTATATTTAAATACTTTATATTTACATCAGGAGCGGGTCCCATTTACAGGGGCCTCCGTGTTTTTTACAGTAGTCCAAACTAGACAAACTTAACATTTTTTGAGTTTTTATGACAACTAAAGGCCACAACAGGTTCTCTTTCATGTTTGGAAGGTGAGGTGAAAGATACGCAGCTGCAACATGCAACTTCACCACTAAATCCTACAGTGAACCTTTATGGTTTTGGATAAATCATGGATTTACCCTTACTTTGATGCACCTGATATTTTCTCATATGATACTTCATGCATATTAGTAAATAGTTTCACAATTGTAAGGAACTCTGCAGAATAAAAGTGGCACAAACCAGAAGCAATGGATTCTTTAAGGGTTGCTTAAAGGCAGAGCAAAACATGGGTATGACCCATCTTTGTTGGCATTACTTGACTTATCTCAGAGGTTCATAGTAGAAAAGTTTCCAGTTAGAATTTGTTTAGGCTTCCTTATCTCTGGTATCTTGTCTTTATCTTTGTGGTGGTCTCTGTTTTTTGTCCTTTAGGGATGTGTTCCAATCGGAGTATATGTGGCGGCAACAACCGTCCTAACCGGTCCAGCTCAGAGGGCACCAGTTCAGGCGCCCACTATGCCCTGTGCGCCCTGGGAATTGGACTGATTGCCCTGGGTATCGTCATGATTGTGTGGACTGTGATACCCACTGATGGAGATGAATCGGGTTTGCCCTCCAGTCATTCAGTCAACTCCACCTCAGGGCCTGACGGTGGCAGCGGAGACGAGGAGGAAACAGACCACACAAAGTCTTCGTCCGTGGCTATGGTACTGGTTGGAGTAGGAGCAGCCATGTTGCTGTTGTCCCTTTGCCTCGGTCTGAGGAGCAAGAGGAGAGCTCGCAACAGACCTGCCCAACCTGTGGCTGCGGGAGGCCCGCTCATGGATCACGTGCCTGGGGACCAGGAAGAGTGAGTGCTTTATAATATAGCTTTTGTTTCACTTGTCTTAGATGTTCTAAGAACTTCCAGTGCTGCTGCGTTTAGAATATTGGGAAATGTACAAATGTAAAAATATTTTGTTTTCCAGTTCTTTAACATTTTTAAACTGGTATTTCTAAACTATTTGTGGTTTTATATATTCCACTTTTAGGATCTGAAACTTCCATACTTATGTGATAGTAGCATTTCGCCTGAGACTGACTCAGGAATTATTTTGGCCAAGACGTCTCAGACAAGCGCATTTACAGAAAACACAGATGCAAACGCCAAGGATGTCTATGGACGAATATTTCATTTTTGCATAGAAAAAAACTTAAGGCTTCAATATTTCAAATAATAACTTTTAAAAGAGAGAAAATGAAAAATAAATATGGTAGAAAAACAAAGAATAGTTTACACATTAGCTGATAAACCATATAGTTGTAAATCCAGAGTTTGTCTCATTCAAGGAAGTTGTCTGGATAAAATCCAACATATTAGACACACTGAGCGTTGCCTCTTGCATCCTTTTCCAGAGCTGCAGATCCAATCACGTATAATGTACCGAGCTATGAGGAGGTGATTGGCAGTGAGGACTACCCTGTCCGTCAAAGTAACCTTCGCAGCAGCACCTCCCAGCTGCCATCTTACGAGGACATCATAGCAGCCGTTGAAAATGAGGGTACGGAGCCCAAGGACAATCCCACGGAGGACACCCCTCTTAGCGAGTCCACACCAGCTCCTGTCCAGCCGGCCGCTGAGCCCGCCCAGGCTGACCCTCCTGGCCTGACACCGAACCCCAGCCTGCCCACCCGTAGCACCAGCCGGGCCAGCCGCTTACTGCGGCCCCTGCGAGTGAGGAGGATCAAGTCGGACAAATTGCACCTGAAGGACTTCCGTCTCCAGATCCGTACCCCCACACAGAATCCGGTAACAATTGAACCCATCACTCCACCACCGCAGTATGATAACAAGATGCCTGAATTACAGTAGGAGCTCTTCCCTCATCTCTCACACACTGTCTGTTCCTGGTGAAACCAAATAACTCTGCATTAAAAGGACTAATGATACATTTTGAAAGCCCATTTTCTAGGTTGGTATTAAATAGGTTAACTGTGGCTGCGGGCAGTGTGACGCAGGCCGTGCAGACACTTTCCTGAGATAAGAATATTTCAAACTTAATCTCGTATTCTTTATCAATGAAGCTTGCGATTGGCATATTTATTTTGTTATAATGCATCGGTTTGAAATGATCTGCTTTCACATTTGAGATTATTTTAAACATCATGTTAAACTATAATGTCAAACATAGGGCAGCCTCTCAGTTTTATTTAATATCCAGTTTTTCACCTCACCTGGATTTATTATTGTTGTATTTTGAGTTTGATTAGTTTTGATCTGTGGAAAATTTGAATCCATGTCTTGCAATTCAGAAAGGGGTAAAAGGGAAACTAATTATTTGACAGTGGTATTAAGTATCATCAGTGTCAGATGCACCACTTTTCTGTGATTTTGAACCGAAGAAGGCCAAAAACTTTGTGACTTAACTTTTTCTTTGTAAATGTCTGTTCTTGTTTGTTAGTCTTAACTGTCTCCTTTAAAAGGAACTTGTTCAAATGACCTTTTTACATATATTATGAGAAGAAAAATATTGTATGAAACAGTAAAACCAGAAGTAAACTATTGAATATTCTACGGGATGTGATGTTGGGATGTGCGTTGCTTCATGATTTTTTATAATAGTTTAAATGTTGAAATCCCTTTTGAATAAGTGTTTTTATCTTTCCTCCAGGATCATGTAAAGATTTTGTTTTTGTTGCACATGTCAATGAAAATAACTATAATTGTAATTATTCAGTTCACCATTGTTCATCAATGCCACGACCGGTAAGAAAAAATAGCCCTATTAAATACAGATTAAAACACCATTAGTGCTACTGAAACACACAAATAAATAATTGCTGCATTTTCTGATGATTTATTTGTTATTTGCCTGCTGTAGGTTCAAGAGAGCGGTTTATTTTGAGAGAGAGAGATTGTCTTTATACTTTCAGTTAATAAAATCTAACTGTAGATGTTTGTTTTGTTCTATATATTGTGTCACCATGACGAACTCCATGTATTTAAATAGTTTAGTTCCAAATTGTCTCTACACCTTTGCTTCAATTTCCATGTGGTCTCAGCGGTCGTTGAAAGTTAGTGACCCCTAGTGGTTAATAAGGGTATAAGACTAAAGTGGGTTGAAACTTTGCTCCAGTTCATTTGTATTTGAACTGAGTGGGTCCTGTATTAATAATAGGAATAAATAAGCACAAGATAATAGTTGTACAATTATTGCTGATGTATGGATGAGTGGAGAAGTCATGGATGTAAAGATGAATTTGAAGAGTATAGACGTGCGTCTTGATGACTTCCAGTCTTCCCACTATAGTTTAATTTAATATACAGGGTTTATATAACTGCAACATTGGTATAGAATTAGTTTCAGATTCTAAATGTAATTCAACCCTCAGATGTATAGTTCACTAGAACCTCCTCCAGTGGTAAATGTATTCTACTCTTTTCTACTCTTAAGTTTTTACTTTGCTGTTATTTTAACTATTCAACATGTTGCGGTTTGGTGAGAGTCTATTTGTTCTAAATTCAAATAAATGCACTGGGTCAGGTTTGACATGGCCTGCTGAATAAAATAATGTAGCTGTGTGTTGATGCTAATCACATCTGAAGTGTGGTGCACAGTAAAAATACATATATACCTGGGGGTTATTTAAAATGTCCATAAACATATGGGTCGAATTTAATCCACATATGGAATTGGGATCAATAGTAAAGAAGAAAGCAGAAGATATAAGAAGTCAAAACATCGGGCAGATCAGAAGCAATATTTCACGTAGATGTGCATGTACCCATTATTCTTTACAACTATATTTTTATTTTTGTATAGTTGCTTGGTCGTTTTGTTGCATTTACCCTAAAAACTATGCCATCATGTTTTCATTGCAGATCTTTTACTCATGTGACAATAACAAATAGCTTACAAATAAAAGTACTGCACTGAATGTTAATGGAAAAAGTAAAACTTCAGTGAAGTACAGTAAGTTTCGACCTCTGGCTCATGTCTGTGCACATTCAACATTTCTTTCCGTTGCTTGTTTCAACCGTTTTGAGTTTGACCTTCAGCAGAATATTTGATCATCTCGTTTTAAATTCACACGTTTAAGCAAAAGTTAGTTTTTGCTGAATAAAGACAAAAATGCTGATCTTGCGAGGCCGAGGCGAAACATTTGAAGTCGCGAAGTTTATTTTTATATTTCCAGCATCAACTATATTTTCCTAATCTCCACCCTTCGCCTCGGTTCAGAGGGATTTTTTTTTTTTTTTCCCTTTTTT